ACTGAAAATGACCAGAAAACACAACAAAATAAGAATTAAACCTCTAAAGCTAGAAAACAAGGAGCAAAGTAAAACTGAATACCTAAAAGAAAACATAACAGAACCAAAACTATGACAGATCCTTCATGGACAGGTTCGTCGTTGGATTGCCAACTTGAAGAGGACATCAGTGTACTTTGCATAGTGCACTGGTCGTAACCATCATGTAATATAGCACATCGTGACAAACACCAGATACAGCACTGGGACTTGATTAACACCCAATACAGCACCGTGACGTCACAAACCAGTAGGTGGCAGTAGTGTTCTTTGACAAACATGGATGCCTCCAGTAAAGCACATTCAAATGAAAATTACTCTTAATTAAAAACACTCATCAATTATTGAACAGGATGGAATAATTTCATACTTAAAGTACTTTTAGAAGTTTGTATTTTTTTTTCCTTTAAACATCTCTAGTTTCTGCTTTTTTACATTCTAATACATACATATGCTGGGATCTAAATTATTCAATCATAGCTCAATATCCAGTGGGAAAATTAACTCCTACCCTAGTTTGGGGTCTTTTGCAACCTCAACCACGTTTCCTTTTAAATCATTTTAAAAAAGAATAGATCGATTAATTGATCACTGAAGTAATCGACAAGTGAAATCATAGTTTTTATTTTGGTTAAATGCTTGAAAAGTTCAGTTTAGGCAACTGGACTGAAGTTTTCTAGAAGGCGTTTCATCTCTCATCTCAGAGGCCTCTTCAGTTCTAACTGGAACTTTAAAACATGTAAAATAGCACTGATTAATGGCTTTATTCAAGCTAGATGTGTTGAATGTGTTTTTGGTAAATCTGAACCAGTTCATATAATGCAAACTATTACTGCTGGGATGATGAGCTGCATTTACGCTCCAGCTTCCACAGCAGCAGTTATGTCTGATATTGCAGAGGGTGTAATTAGGCTCCAAACAGGGCTCATTAATGTGTGTTTTGTTCCAGATCTGTGCAACTGGAGCGCGTGGAGTGTTTGGACGGCCTGTGCACAGCCATGCAGCGGTGGAGTCAGGCAGCGCTACAGACGACCCCTGGCCTCTCCTGCAGGGCCTCGTTGTAAGAGTCAGCAGACGCAGAGTCAGAGCTGCAACACTGGACTATGTCCTGGTACCGTTGCTTTATTCTTTTATCTTCTCCACCTGAAAAAGGTTTCACTCAATAATCAACTTTCACTCTTTTAAAAAATACACTTCAGGTATAATCTTGTTCTTTAAAAGCTTATGTGCATCAAAACTTGCCAAATTAATATAAATGCAAAAGCAGAAAATAAAACATCAGTTCAATCTGAAAAACTCACATGAAGAGAAAAGACAATTGAAGAAATGTATATATGCAATTACTTTGTCTTTGGCGCTCAGACCTCAGCAGGAAACATGGCGCTGGATATTGATAGATATGCATGAACAGGAGCAAAGAATAGGGCTGTTTCCCCTCCAGGCCTGAAACTGGTGGTGGAGTGGCTATAGATGAAGTTGGTCAGTCTGTAGACTGCTGGTTAGAGAGACAGTCTGCTGAGTTTTATTTGTAGATCCAGTGGACTGCGTCAGCTGATACTAGAGCTTCACTCAGGGACCTGGAAGATGGAAGTCCAGTTGGATTACACAGGTTGAGAGAACCTGTCCATGATGAGCAAGCATGAAGCGACAGTGGGGAGAAAAAACTCCCCTTTGAGAAGAAACCTCTGGAAGAACCAGGCTCAAAATGGCGGTCTTTTGCCGGACCGGTTGAAATGAGACGCAGATTGCAGTAAGAGTACATTCCTTTTGATTTCAAGCTTATGTATTTAGGCATAATTCCTCAAGACGCCACAAAAAGAAACAAATATTTGATGACTATTTTATTAACGGCAAGCAAGAAAAACATTACAAGAAAATGGTTGTCACATGACAAACCAACATTAGATGACTGGCTTAACATAACATTTGACATATATGAAATGGGAAAAATAACAGCCTCTCTCAATCACAGAACTGAAAAAT